GGCTTTTCATATGGGTGGTTGACAAGCTGGGCTATAGGGTAAACCATAATGTGCCAAGCACCACAGAGCCTGGAGCCAAGACAGGGATAATTTCAGGCAAGACCCAGTCTCCAGAGCCAAAACCACTGGCCTGAAAGCTTTTCTCAGAAGGTTTGCTGTTCCCATCACTGCTGGGATGAATTTTAACTCATTATTGATCAAGGGAATTTTAAAATCAATTTTAATTAAATGAAAGATTTCTATCACGGCTTGTTCTGTGTGGAAGTCACACAGACGACATATAAATATATGGAGGCAGATCATGCAGAGTAGATTTGTAGCAGTAGGCCCTAAACAGGTGAGAAAGAAGCCAAAGTTACATCTGAAAGCAAATTTGTTATAGTAAATGATCTACCTGTCTATTCCCCCCCGCCCCCCCCTTTTTTTTTTTTTTTTGTGTCCCCCCCCCCCTTTTCCTCCCCCCCTTTTTCCTGTTGTTTTTCTAACCTGCCAGCGGAGAGGGGGGCGAGCCCGGCCCCCCCCGCGCACGGACCCCCCAGGCAGGCTTTAGCGTGCGCTCCGCAATCGCCCTCTTTTCGTGCGTGCGTGTGTGTGTGTGTGGGTGCGAGTGTGGTGCCTGTCAAGGGGCTGTTTCTCTCCCCACCCTCCTCCTCCTCCTTCTTCCAAATATGCTTTTTGCAAGTTTTGATCTCGTCTCGGCACTGGCTACCCTCGCCGCGTGCTTGGTGTCACTGACTTTGCTGCTGGCCGTGTCCCAACAGCTGTGGCAGCTCCGCTGGGCTGCCACCCGCGACAAAACCTGCAAGCTACCAATCCCTAAAGGCTCTATGGGATTCCCTTTAATCGGAGAAACCTTCCACTGGCTCCTGCAGGTAAGGAGGATTCCCTTCCCTCCCTGGAAGGTGGGCTGGGACCGGCTTTTTTTTTTTTTTTTTAAGGGTTTTTTTTCTTTTTTTTTTTTTTTCTTCTTTTCCTTTCGATTGCATCATGCGGGTTCCCGGCGAGCTGGGGAGGTAGCTGGGCCGGGGGTTGGTGGCGGCTGGGAGCGGGGCGAGGGGGGGGAACGGAGGGAGCCCGGTCCGGGCGGGCTCTCCCCGGAGCGGCCGCTGCGCTCCCCGACCGGGCGCTGCTCGGTTGCCCCGGCGGGGGCTGCTCGGGGCCGGGGAGAAAGCTCGGGGTCTCCTCTGCGCTGCCACTATCTCATTTTCTCTCCCCCTCCCTCCCCAGCCGAAATCCTTGCAAAAAAATTAATAATAATTACTATTAATACTAATACCGGGGGTGAGAGCTAACCCCGGGGACGGCGTGGATGTCGCCGGGGACGACGCGGGGACTCCCCGGGATGTGTCCCCCTCTCTCGCCATCCCACCCCCCGTGGAATGAGCTCCCCGCGCCGTCCTGTCCCCGTCCCCGGGGCTGCTCCCGTCGGGTTCGCAACCCGCCCGGCTCGGGTCCGGTGTTGTGGGGAAGCCCGCGGAGGTAATCGGTAGATTAACCCGGGATTAACCTTGCTAAATGCTGAACGGCGGCAGGCGGAGCGGGATCCCCTCGGACCGCGTTGCGAGAGGGTGACTGCCAAAAAGAGAGGAAAAGGAAAAAAAAAAAAAATATTTAAGGTCTTTACCCGGCGGCAGAGGGGTGCCCCCGCTGCGGGGGGAGCCGCGGGTCGGGCTGAGGGCACCCCGCGGTTCGCAGCATCCCAGGAGGGAACCCCCGAGGAAAATTAGCCCGAGCGTTTCCCAACCCCTCCTCGCAGGGTAAAAGAGAAATAATAATAATAATAAGCAAATGGGAGCCTGGCGAGGATGCTCCCGCCGGCGAAGGTCGCGTTTCATTGACGGGACTGCCGAGGGGACGGCAGAGCAGCCCGCGGCGGGGCAGGGCAGCCCCGGTTCCCGGCTGCGAAGGCTGCGGCGTCCCCCGGTTCCCCCCGCC